ATAAAAAGCTATGTAATATTTGATGCATACACTTTTTGGAAAAATGATATTTACAGGCGACTAAGGTTTATAAAATTATTTGACGTATTTTTATTAAGTAGAAGCAATTTTTAAGGTATAATTTGTAATATTTTGACACATTCTTTGTTAGGATTATATCTAACTTGCAACTGTCTATAAGTTGTACAATTCTTACTTTTCATTGTAAATTTTAAATTATATTCTCGAAGTTGATATTACTTCAATTTTTGAAATATTCTTAAAACGTGTATTATATTAATGATTATACAAAATTACAAAATTCTCTCATTCCTTCATTTATATGTTTTTATAAAATAAATATCATTTAATATAAGAATTAATGTAACAACTTTCTTAATGGCTTCGTACGATTTCTACAATTTTGCACAGTGTATTATTAACGTGATACCTAATAAATGTTAAAATGTCAATACTTTGTTATTGTTTTTATTTAACAGTTCATACAACGTTAACAATGAAGAAAATCGTAGAGTTTCACGACTTTCCTACAACTGATCGTAAATTAAAGAACTTTTCACACACACGTTTCGATAGGTCCAACTGTTTTATGATTTCACCAATTTTTATGAAACTTTGCACATGCATATGACTAATTTAGGTTTATAAACAGAATGTCTCAAATCTTTTATTAAACACCCCCAATAAAAAAGTTAAATTGTTTCTTCGCAATTCTGTTGAATAGCCAATTTTCTTTTATTTTTGCCACACATAATAAACTAAGCCATCTAATATTCCAAAATTCAAGTCGATTGGTCCAATAAAAAAGAAGTTATTCCCTTTCAAAAGATATTCGAATACTTTCGTGAGCCATTGTATTCTTTTGTATTTATACAGAGTGTCGTTGGGACCAACTGTATATTATGAATTACCGAAGTCAAATAGATAAAAATAGTTCAAATGAACTTATCCGGGAATGTTTTATTGGAAAAATATAAGTATTGATAGATTTACAGGCAAAATACGCCTCATTCTCGACGGAATGTACGTGATTTTCTTAATAGACAATTTCCTCAACATTGGACCGGACGCGGCCATTCAGTTAACCTTCTATAGGTTACCTAACTTAACGTCTCTGGACTTCTAGTTATGAGGTCACGTAAAGAAGTTGGATTAGAAAAATTCGATAGAAATAGATGAATTTTAGGAATGCATTCATAATGTATTTACTATTATTTCTTATATAGTTGGAATATTTGAAAGAGTTCGTTGATCACTAATTGGACGAAAGGAAGCTTGCATTTTTGCAGAGGGAGGAATTTTCGAATATTCATTATAACTGTCACAATAAATCATATATTCTTAAAAATATATAGTTTTTCAATAAAGCATTTTCGGATATAAATTCATATGAACTTTTTTCATCTATTTGACCCCAGTAATAAGTAGCATACGTACGGTCCAAACCTTCTTGGTCACCCTGTACATTCATTTTGTACAAAATTGCAAACAATTTTAAATACTTCTGACTTAGGCAACGACTACCTTAACCTCAATCTTCCGTTTCTGAATATCCACTCAGCTCGAGATATCTATATGAAAATTAGACAGCGAATTTTATGCATTTATAGAAAAATTGTCAAGAATGTTTGTCATGTCAAAAAGTATGCAAAATATTAAAAGATGTGCCTGTTAACAATTTTTAAATGATACAAGAAATATATATTTAAAATGCATTTTTTAAATTGTGAATGTTTTATATTGCATAAAAATCCGCGGTCTAATGAAAAATTCATTTATATGTTTTTATAAAATAAATATCATTTAATATAAGAATTAATGTAACAACTTTCTTAATGGCTTCGTACGATTTCTACAATTTTGCACAGTGTATTATTAACGTGATACCTAATAAATGTTAAAATGTCAATACTTTGTTATTGTTTTTATTTAACAGTTCATACAACGTTAACAATGAAGAAAATCGTAGAGTTTCACGACTTTCCTACAACTGATCGTAAATTAAAGAACTTTTCACACACACGTTTCGATAGGTCCAACTGTTTTATGATTTCACCAATTTTTATGAAACTTTGCACATGCATATGACTAATTTAGGTTTATAAACAGAATGTCTCAAATCTTTTATTAAACACCCCCAATAAAAAAGTTAAATTGTTTCTTCGCAATTCTGTTGAATAGCCAATTTTCTTTTATTTTTGCCACACATAATAAACTAAGCCATCTAATATTCCAAAATTCAAGTCGATTGGTCCAATAAAAAAGAAGTTATTCCCTTTCAAAAGATATTCGAATACTTTCGTGAGCCATTGTATTCTTTTGTATTTATACAGAGTGTCGTTGGGACCAACTGTATATTATGAATTACCGAAGTCAAATAGATAAAAATAGTTCAAATGAACTTATCCGGGAATGTTTTATTGGAAAAATATAAGTATTGATAGATTTACAGGCAAAATACGCCTCATTCTCGACGGAATGTACGTGATTTTCTTAATAGACAATTTCCTCAACATTGGACCGGACGCGGCCATTCAGTTAACCTTCTATAGGTTACCTAACTTAACGTCTCTGGACTTCTAGTTATGAGGTCACGTAAAGAAGTTGGATTAGAAAAATTCGATAGAAATAGATGAATTTTAGGAATGCATTCATAATGTATTTACTATTATTTCTTATATAGTTGGAATATTTGAAAGAGTTCGTTGATCACTAATTGGACGAAAGGAAGCTTGCATTTTTGCAGAGGGAGGAATTTTCGAATATTCATTATAACTGTCACAATAAATCATATATTCTTAAAAATATATAGTTTTTCAATAAAGCATTTTCGGATATAAATTCATATGAACTTTTTTCATCTATTTGACCCCAGTAATAAGTAGCATACGTACGGTCCAAACCTTCTTGGTCACCCTGTACATTCATTTTGTACAAAATTGCAAACAATTTTAAATACTTCTGACTTAGGCAACGACTACCTTAACCTCAATCTTCCGTTTCTGAATATCCACTCAGCTCGAGATATCTATATGAAAATTAGACAGCGAATTTTATGCATTTATAGAAAAATTGTCAAGAATGTTTGTCATGTCAAAAAGTATGCAAAATATTAAAAGATGTGCCTGTTAACAATTTTTAAATGATACAAGAAATATATATTTAAAATGCATTTTTTAAATTGTGAATGTTTTATATTGCATAAAAATCCGCGGTCTAATGAAAATAATACACGGAACTCGCTCTAGTTGTAACATTTTTTATCATCGCGTTCAGAGTTTCCGGTTCTTCAAGTCTCGCGTAGTTGTACATTTTCCAGATACAGGCGACGTTTTTCCTTTGGCAGCAAAAACGGAAACGTGGGTTCAACCGCGCGGTATCATTGTTGAAGTAGAGTGGTGCGTCACAAACAAAGAGCATCTTTGAAAGGTATCATCAGAAGTACAGAGCTCGTAATCGACTCCGTTTCACGCGCGTTTCGTTCGTTAAAGTGGAAACATATTTCACGTACTTGGAAGAACGTTGGGAGATCGTCGAGTGTCGCCTGGACTGCCGTTCGTAATGTAACTTTGAAAAAGTGACGCGGATTTGTACATTGAAGTGAAACAATGAAAAGAGAATACACGCTTAATAATGGATAAGCGGGTCTCTGTGTACTCGTACTTGGACAATTGATTAATTACTTTCGTTCGTTGTTTTTAGACTAAGTTTTATTCGAGTGTCGTCGTGTAACTTTCTGATCATCGAGTGAGAAAGTGTTATTACTATGTTGTAACGTGATAGGATAATAAAAACGCTGAATATTGACAAATGATGATAGTGCTTTTGCTGTGCGTCATCATGAAAATAGCCGAGTTTTCTGTGGGCCGTACAAGCCCACCGTTCCAAGTGCCTGCACGACCGCCGCATCTCTATTACAGGAAACGGAAACGGCAAGAACCGAAGTGTTACAGGCGAGCCACTGATAAGTGCAACTGCTTTTTGTACAATCGTAAGATACGATACATTCTATTTTCTAATAATTTCACAACTGTCTCGCAACAGATTAATTATCATTGCAGAAGAGTTGTACGCGTCATTCCGTTCAAGGTTGAGCGTGTTAGCAATCATTAATAAACGCGATGCTGAGAATAATAATAGTAATAACTTCCATTCAAATAAGCAAGGATCTGTCCTCTTTCACTCGAGATTGTCCTTTTGAGGATTATCTTATTATGATTGGATTAATACGTACGCTTTAAATAGGCTTACCATATTTTCGTCTTGTCGAATGAGGACAATATGACATTTGATAGAAAAAAAAGATGTATACTTATAAGCAGACTGCAGATTTTAGAAATCCAAAGTAAAACTTTAAGAGTATCAATTTAAGAAACAATATTTAGTGAAAATGCCCTTCAATCTTTTGAACATCATGACACGTATTTTAATATTCATACTTTATGTACTTTTGTGCACTATGCGTATTTTTTACGTTTTCTACATAATTTAATTTTGATACAAATGCATAAAATCCGCGGTCTTTACCAGTTTATTAGGTTTTAACACATTTTAACAGGAAACATTCTAAATCTTATAATTGACGTATTTTAACTTGTCATTTCTGTTATATTTTAATACAACAACAACAACAACAATAATAATAATAATAATAATTTGAATAAAATTGCGAAAATCTAGAAATTGCACATTTAAAAAACTCGGTCGGACTGTTTAAGATCTAAAAGTGGGAACATTCCCCACAAAAGTGGGGAAAAGAGGACGTATAGTCACCCTACATTAAACAATCTAAAGGAATTACATTAATGTACCTATTCTGATAGCTATATTTGGCATGGATAATTCTGGCTGACATCTGCTGAACCGTTTGAAAATGGAACGGAAATGAACTCGTGCAGTGATTCAGGATTTATTTTTATAAAATATCTCGCGATTAAATATATGATAAAATTATGATTAAAAAGTAAATGAAAAGAAAGTAAAATAAAGCTAATGTTTACCTAGCACAAGTGAAAATGTCTCTGCGCCAAGTGGAACCGGTGTTTGGCAGGGTTATGTTTCACTGTATCGCGCGTAAAATTCTCGCCTGCTCACAAAATTTGGCTCCTGAATTTCTTTGGCCGCTTCCTCCGCTTCTGCTTCTTGCTAAAATTATCCGACACTGCCCTCGACACTGGTAAACCACCGCACCGTGAAACATTTTTCCTCGCCCGCGTAGAAAACTATAATCAACATGATACGAAGACCGTCAGGAAAATGACTTCCGATTCAACTTCCCGGCTGTTATAAAATAATATTATATGTACTTTCATTTCTACAGCAACTAACAAATAGTGGACAGAGAGAATTTATATAATATAATAAAGCGATAACTCAATATTGTAAATATTTGGTCGAGCCACGTATGTAATCTAGTGTTTCATGTGCAATGACTCCCATTAATATTTGGACACATTTTCAAAACTGAATAACTTTTTTAATACAAGATTAAACTACTTAATTTTCTGTAGGTTGTAACAAGCCCGGGCTTACTGCATAATATGTAACAAAAATTGAGAAGAGTTATTCGTCAAAATCTCGAAAAGAAGGGGGAAAGAACTGGTTCTAATTCTAAAGCAGATGTTAAACGGTCAATGTTGTAAGAAATATGTTCAGTGACTTCTATTAATAGTCAGACACGTTTCAAAATAAAACAATTTCATTTTTGAATGATGTTTGGAAGCCTGATTTATTACGTAATATGTACTAAAGTTAAAAAGAATTGCCATTCGTCAGAATTTCGAAGAAAGAAGAACGTGATTTTTAATTTTTTAATTACAGTTTCCAATAAAGATTCTAATCATTCCGATTATAGATCTAAGTAAGTTAATGCATGTACAATGTGAAAGTTTCATAAAAATCTGTGAGAGCATGAAAAAGTTGGACACATCGAGATATGTAAAAATTTTTCAATTTATGTCAGTTATAGACCGGAAAATCGTAAAAAACTGCGATTTTTTTAAATGTCTAATCGCTTGTAGCTCATAGCTCATAGAATATTAATCGACTTTGAAGAAATTCTGTACCTGCATATAACTTACTTCGATCTACAAACGGAGTGATTCAAATTTTTATTAGAGACCCTACTACGAAAGTTAAAGGTCGTGTTTTTTACTTTTTTATTCGATACTTTGAAGGACAGCAATTGCTTTTAATATTTTTACATCATGTAGTAGACTAAGCTTTTTAACATCCCACAGAAAATTAAGTTGCTTGGTACAATATTAGAAAAGTTCAACTTTGACGGGAATCACTAAATAAAACTAGACTGCGGATATACAATTATAAGACAACTGAAAATGCAGAAATCATAAATACCACGTGTGATGTATAAGACAATAGATAATAAAGACCAGCAGTCTACATATAACTTACTCAATACTATAAAATCTGTTTTAAATTTTCATTACTGACCTAAATGAAGAACTTAAAAATCGTGACCTTTACCTTTTGTGGTTATGATTCTGGT